AAGGACTGAATGGTCCATTCCTGCTCCTAATTTGCATGTTCATATATATAGCCAAACTGGAACCATCCCAGTTTAGGTGTGTTAGTAGGATCTGCTATGAAGTATCACTAATGTTTCACTGCGACAACTGTTCTAAGTTTCGATAGTATCCGATATGTTTGTCACACTTAGCGTTCAAAAGATTGTAAAGTTCTGCCACAGCTTTGAGTGAGCAGACATATCCAAGTGGAGCCAGTCTAATTCCCTCTAAGCTACCCATTTCTTATTCATTCAGGGGAAGTGGCCATCATTGGCTGGGCCAGCATTTACTACTCATTCCTAATTGTACGCGACAGTGGTGAGCTACATTCTGAAACTGCTGTAGTCCTTTTGATATAGATACATCCACAATGCTGCAAGGCAGGGAGTTCCAGGATTTTCACTCAGTGACAGTGAAAAAAACAATGACTTTTTTTCAAATCAGGATAATGAATGGTTCAGAGAGGTGAACTTGCACGTGCTGGTGCTCCCATGTGTCCGCTATCCATGTCCTTCTAGATGGTATAGATCATAGGTTTTGAAGGCACTGTCTAAGGAGCCTTGGTGAATTTTTGCAGTATGTCTTGCAGATGGTACATTCTGTTTCTACTGAGTGTCAAAGGTGTGACCTAGAAGTCCCCACACAAGTAAAGCACAAGCTGGTTCCTGAGCAACCATTCAAAAAGCGTAAAGGTTCTATACAGAAAAATGAATAATTTGCTAAATGCTAAATAAAACAAATAGGGACATTGCACACAATGTGACAACACTACTTGGAACAGATAAGTCACAGGTTACATTATCTTCATACATTTCTCAGATCTGCTACTTTCTTGCAGATTTGTCTCACAATCCATGCAAACAAGGATAGTCTCCCTCAAGTTTACATCAGCACTTCACGGGCACCATGTGCAAAGGCTGCAGCGCATATTTCACAACAGTGGAAGTTTTCTGAATAAGATAAATCTTCAAATCTCTTTCCTTCAGTTCACATAAGTTTAACCCAATTGACTGAGATGAAGGATAGACTAAGTTTAATGCAGCCACTGAGATAAAGGATGGATTAAAGATGGACAGATGAATAGTTAAAATGGCAGAGCAGAAATTTATGCTATGTTCCAGACATGTCATTTCAACTGAAAGTCTCAAGCTGGTGTAGTCCTACCTGTCCTGCAAAAGGCTGGTTTGATGTGATTAAATTGCTGAAATAGGAGACTATCCTAACTCAAGACCAACCAATAAACCTGACAAAATTAATGAAACACATGTTCCCCCATACAAGATAAAAGGGATATGCAACTGCCATTGAGTAGCCTTTTGGATCTTGTTACCTAACTTGCTGGTTGAGATTTCTGCTTCCAAAGCTCTTCTGAAACATTTTGACTTACTTTACATCGAAGGACCTTCAGTCATCTTGGTGATATTTTTGCCAGACTTTACTAGATGGGAAAACAATCAGAGGAGATGGAGCAGCAAACAGCCTCAGGAGCTTGTGCAATCATAGGAACCCATTCAAAAACTAAAATAAAGGGACTGAATATGAGATAACCTAGCCACATATTCATGCTATACAAGTTCCTGGCAGTGACCATTTCCACCAAGAGAGAAGCTGACCATCTCCTCATAACATAAAATGACATTATCATTGCTAAATCCCCATATTAAACATCCTGAGGTTATACTTGACCAGAACTAGATTAGTCATATAAATACTGCAGTTACAGTCAGCGGCATAGACCACCATCTGCATGAAAAAGTTGCCCCTCAGGTCTCTTTTAAATCTTCCTGTCTCACCTTAAACCTATGTCCTCTAGTTTTGGACTTCCCTACCTTGGCCTTAGCTCTCATACCTATGACTCTCATGATTTTATAAACTTCTATAAGGTCATCCCTCAGCCTCCTATGCACCAGGGTAAAAAGTTCCAACCTATCCAGCCTCTCCTTATAATTCAAACCTCCCAGTCTCAGTAACATACTTGCAAAGTTTTTTTGTACCCTTTCCAGTTTATTGCAAGAGCAGATCAGAGGACAGGGATGCTGCAGCAACTAATTCACCTCTTGACTCCAAAAGAGTATCCATCATCTACTAGTCACATCAGGATTGTGATTTAGTACAGCTCCAAAAGCACTCAAACAACTTGACTACATCCTGGACCATGCATTCTGACTGCATATATTGACTACCTTAAACATGCATCCTTTCCACCACCATTGACAAACGTCACATTTAAACAAAAACATTAGATTTTCAGTCAATTACAAATACAAGTGCTATTTAATCATGTGAGTCACATTGTGAAAAAGCAACACACATTTTCCCTATACAATTACCACAAAATCAGATAGTGAAAATATTACAGTATACTGTCTATACATAGCTTATTGTATCAGATGTGTTACAACCCACAACATCCTTCCGCACTCATTTATTCCGATGTAACTGCAAACCTTTCAGTATTTCCCATTGTGCTCCTCCAGCACATCCAAATAGATTATGACTAACACTTAACTTCATTTACTACCTTTGACCCATAAACATTGATGACATTGGCCAATAAAACCTGTTTAAAATTTCAAAACTTTTATGTTGCTCTGAGCCGGTTTCTAGGAGATACCCAAATATGACACAGATATACTAAAGCAGTGTCTTGGCCCACAATTTTGTGCTCACTGTGGAGGACCACTACGCAGAGTGGACCTACACTAAATTTGTAAGAAAAAGTGTACATTTCTCTAAAGTTATTTCTTGTTAATAATGGTGCAAACATTTCATCTTACAAATATTAATTGTAAGAAGTTTTAATCCTGAAACAAGTGTCAAAAATACTGTAAAATTGGTGTGGATTGAAAGCATCCTCCTTTTCAGTGGGCACTAAGTCTAATTGCTGCTTGGCCACTGTATACTACATTCAAATTCTACAGTGAAAATGCTTTAGAACAAAAGTATTTTTTACTCTATTTCCACAGAGGCTTAGTTGCTTTGTTACTAGGAAGGAATGTCATACAAACGTGTTAAGTTTGTTAAATGCAATGTCATTTCCAGGACTATGTTACAACCACATTCTGAAACAGGGCAGAGTGGAGCAAGAAAAGGATACCAGTTATAGTAATATTTATAACAATTTTTTTCATGTTATTCTGGCTATTATTTCAATCGGTAACATTTCAAACATTTCAACACAGACCTTGGATATAAACATTCAAGAATACTCAACAGAAAAGCTTGAGCCCAATGAACTGTCTGGAGTCATTGAGGTCTACAGCACAGAAAAAGACTCTTCAGTTCATTCAGTATGCACTGGTCAAAAACAAATAACTACCTGATTGGAATTACTAGTACCATGACCACTAGACTTTATAAGATGTTGATGTTTTGAACTCTTTCAATTTACACAAACCAGTAAATTTGCAGTAAAACAGAATGCCCTAAAATGGAGGGGATGATGTGAAATTGAGCTGTAATCTGCCAAGTGATAAACCCGTGAGAATTGGTTGCCATGGAGGCAGGCATCCCAGGTCAAAATTTATTCAAAGTCAGGTGCAAACTTTAACATCTGGATGAAAAGGAAAATGCAGCTGGCCTTACTGCTGCATACATATGGCCTCTCAAAATCAGTCAGACCAAAGCATTTGGGTGAAGTAGAAAGAATGTAAATGCTGCTCTGCCAAGTAAAAGGACTTCAATTTGGGTTAATCACCAAGTGAAAGACTTCTGATGGCAGATGTCATGTTTGAGGAAACAAGAAGTGTGAAAGGTAAAGACCACAGATTCTCCTCAAGAGCCTTATAAAAGAAGATTGATTTGATTATGCTCGAAGGATTGAGTGAAGAGGACTTTGGTTTAAAAGGCTACTGGAAAAGACCTTGACAAATAAAGTAGAAATGACTTTGGTAATACTGTAAGGAAGTGAATTTTAAACTTAAAACTATATGTCTATGGAGAATATGATACAATATAAATATAGTATGGGGTGGATACTTAGAGTCATACAGCATGGAAACAGACCCTTTGGTCGAATTTGTCCACGCTGACCAGATAATCCCATTTGCCAGCATTTGGCCCATATCCCTCAAAATCCTCCCTATTCCAGATACGTTTTAAATGTTGTAATTGTACCTGCCTTCACCACTTCCTCTGGCAGCTCAGTCCATACATGCACCACCCTCTTTGTGAAGAAGTTGCCTCTCACGTCCCTTTTAAATCTTTTCCCTCTCATGTTATATCTACACCCTTTATTTTTGGACTCCCCTATCATGGGAAGAGGAGCTTGGATGTTCACCATATCCATGCCCCTCATGATTTTACAAACCTCCATAAAGGTCACCTGTCAGCCTCCAATGGTCTAGGGAAAAAAAGCCCCAAACTATTCAGTCTCTCCCTACAGCTCAAACCCTCCAGTCCCAGCAACATCCTTGTAAATCTTTTTTGAAACCTTTCATGATTAACAACATCCTTCCTATAGCAGAGAGACTAGAATTGTATGCAGTATTCTAAAAATGGACTCACCAATAGCCAGTATAGCTGCAACATTACATCCCAACTCCTATACTCAATGCACTGACCAATGAAGGTAAGCATGCCAAACACCTTCTTCACCGCCCCGTCTACCTGCAACTCCACTTTCAACTTCTATAGTTTTGTGTATTAGTTGTTTACTAAATAAAGCTAAATGAATGTTAATTTTAGTATATATTGTTCTTTACATAGACGATAACAGTGGTCAATTTGTGTAATCTTAGTATGACTGGACTTAAGAAAGTTTATTGTGTGGTTTAGTGGTTAAAGTATAGATTTGAAAAGTTTGAGTGTCCAACATAGAGCTTCTTAAACAGAAATATGCATTAGGAATTCAGGTGTGGAGGTTAAAATGACTCTCAGTACATTCTGTCCAGTCAAAAAGTCCCATCAGGCACTGAGATCTTGATTCTACATTGGAGCTCAAATTCTTGAAATCTTTCTAAGTTTTCAATTAGAACTTTACCTGGTACTGAGGGGCTTCTTCTGTAGCCTTCACAATACTGTTTTCACAAACAAAGTCTTCCGCTTGATTTGAAGGCATTTTATTACTCTCCAGAGACTCTGTTGTGAGGTCAATGACAGGATTTTCTGTTATAAAAACTTCAGAGGGGGATCTCCTGGTTTTCTGGAGCTGGAATGAAATGTATTAAGAAACAAATAAGCATCATATTTTGTAACTACATTCTTTCACAAAATGTTAGTTTCAACAAAGCATTATGCATGTCAATCATCAATGTTTTTAGCTTACAGTCAGTGCTTCAAGTCGTGTAGCAGCTTGTTTCTGATTTCCAAGTAAAATCAGTGTTTTACAAAATGATCCACATTTTTCAATGGATTTGGAGCCTGTCCATATTGATTAACTTAGGTCTGCTGCAAAAGCTGTAAAAGCTTTCTCCCACTTTTGATTGTGTGTCACTCAAACTCAAGAAGTTTTAAGATTTTAAAGGAGGATTTCTAGCCATATGGTGTTAGGGGCAAGTTACTGGCGTGAATAGAGGATTGACTGTCTGTCCGAAGGCAGAGAGTGGGGATAACGGAGTCTTTTTCAGGACGGCAGCTGGTGACTAGTATGCTTCAGCAGAGGTCAGTGTTGGACCACAACTATTCACATTATATATTAACGAACCAGAGATGAAACTGAGCGCATTGTTGCTACGTTTGCAGGTGGCACAAAGGTAGGACAGATAAGTAGTGTTGTGGAAGCGGGGAGGCTGCAGAAGGACTTGGACAGGCTAGGAGAATGGCAAAGAAGTGGCAGAAGGATCAAAATGTGGAAAACTGTGAGTTTATGCACTTTTGGTAGGAAGAATACAGGCATAGATTATGTTCTAAATGGGATTAGGCTTCAGAAATCTGAAGCACAAAGGGTCTACAGAGTTCTAGTTCAGGATTCTCTTAAGGTTAACATATGGGTTTAGTTGGCAGTTAGGAAGGCAAATGCAATTTTAGCATTCATTTTGAGAGGTACTACAGCAGGAATGCACTGCGGAGGCAGCATAAGGCTCTGGTCAGATCACATTTGGAAGACTGTAAGCAGTTTTCAGCCCCATATCGAAGGAAGGATGTGCTGGCCTTGGACGGCGTCCACAGGAGATTCACAAGTATGATCCTGGCAATGAAGGGATTGTCATTTGAGGAGAGGTTGAGGATGGTGGGACTGTACGCGATAGTGTTTAGAAGGATGAAGGGGGATCTCATTGAAACTTACAGAATATTGAGAGGCCTGGACAGAGTGAACATGAAGAAGATGTTTCCACTAGTAGGAGACAATAGGATCCAAGGTCACTACCTCAGAGTGAAGAGTTGGCCCTTCAGAACAGAGATGAAGTGGAATTTCTTCAACCAGACGGTGGTGAATCTGTGGAATTCATTGCTGAAGAAGGCTACAGGGGCCAAGTCATTGAGTGCATTTAAGAAAGAGATAGATATGTTCTTGATTGATAAGGGGATCAAGGGTTATGGGGAGAAGGCTGGAGAATGGGGGTTGAGAAACATATTAACCCTGATCGAATGGTGCAGCAGATCTAATGGCTGAATGGCCTAATTCTACTTCTTTATCCTATGGTTTTATGGTCTTAAACCTAGATTAGAAATGCAAATTGGGTTAGAAACTGCGTGCAAAAGGAAGAAAGGTTAATGTTTTTACAGTCTGGATTTTCTTCCTCCACCTTTAATATATGTTCACAGCAAAAAAAAAACTTTATACCTTCGGCCTGTACTGAAACCTACAAATTACTAAGAAGAATAGACAGGGATAGAAGCAGATAAGATGATCCCCCTGGCTGGGAAATCTAGAACCAAGGGACATAATTTCAAAAAATAGCATGAAGTCATTTAACGCTGAGGTAAGGAGATTATTTTCTTACTTGAGGCTTTTGAATCTTTGGAAATCTCAACCCCGGACGACTGCCACAGCTCTGACACTTGCAATATCTTCAAAGCAGACATGGACAAATTTCTAGATACCAATGATGTAAAGGGATACATAGATAGCGTGGGATTAAGGATTTGAAGTGATGATCAGCCACGATCATATTAAATGGTAAAGTAGTCTTATCAGGCCAAAAGGCCTACTCTCATTTGTATGCTCTCAAGTACACAAAGGGTTTGACTAATCCAAGAGTCACCCACTTGCACAGAGGTAAATGTGAGCGCAAGTCTCCAGTAATAAAGGTTGCACCCCTCTCCATGGTGTAAAATGGATAACATGCCACAGCATGAACAATTAATCTGCTTGTGTATGTTACACTGCACACCACAGAGCATGCCCACCATTTTCCCAGACTTCTCTGATAAGCAGAAAGTATCACACTGCCTGTTGGCATTGTACTACATCAATGAGAAAGTAAGATACAACACCAAACCAAAATAACACAGCAGGAAACTAGTACTAAGTTGCTCGACTTCATGGAGCTGCAATTAGTATCACATATTAAGACATTGGAGGAAAATGGGACTGCTGTTAAGTTTTACATTATGAACTTTTTTATTCTAATGCAGATAAGCTCATTTGATGCTCAACCAAATTTTTGCTATTACTGATGGAATTTTGTTATTCTTGATTCCAATGATTTAAACAGATAAGCTGTCAATCGTTGATATCTGTCTGATAATCTGTTTGCTATTGAGATATGGCAAAAATCAAAATCATGTCTTTTCTAGTTCTCAGATATGTATCAATACTTTCAAAATCTAACTCCTGAGAAGCAAATGATCCTGCTGTTTCAGTGAATTCTCTGACCCCACCCACCAGTCTACAAGCTCATACGTTCATATCTCAAAGGAGGAGTACCCAGTCTCCTAGCACGCTTTCACCTAATCACAAAAGTCCTAGTATGAACAAATATCTAAATGCAAATATGTGTTTTTCTTCAGAGGCAATCACCTGAAGTCTCATCTCAATCTGCATCTTTAAAATCAATGTTGCGTTTGCACATTTGTGTAAAATATACTTCTGCTGCTACGTCTTATGGTCTTATCAGGAAACAGGGAAACAGCACAATAGATTTTTAAGTAAAGCTGAGCAACAAAAATTGCAAGATGGTTTATCATAGTTAATAGATATTGCCAAATGAATTAATATTGGTATAGTGATATAGTGATACTGGACATCTCTTCAAAAGGAGTCACTCGAAATGAAAATCAAGAGAGATGTAAAACAGCTGGCTGGTTTGCTACTGCTACTGCTACAGCATAAAACAGGTTCTAGCATTATTGGACTAAGTCAATAATACCCCCTTTATCACATATTGATAAGAAGTTCACTCAACCCACCTTTTGGACATCAAAGTACTATGTACAACAAGAATATGTCCTTTGTAATGCTGCTGTTTGATCTTTAATAGACATGCACACAGTATATGATGTCAACTATGAAGTACAAATATTTGCAGACAAATAAAGTAAGAATAGGGATCTTTAAAAATAGATAATGGGCTGCGTCTTACCCAGATCAGCTACTTATCATTTTTGTCATGTTAAGGGAGAGAATTTCTTTGTGAGACGTAGCAAGGTTTCTTACACCACTGTCCCTAACTCCCCATTAAATTTGTACCACACTCCACTCGTCTGATGCTAGCCTGATTTTCCCCACTCGTCATCATAACCCTGGATGGTCTCTGCACCTCCTAATCATTTAATTGGGACAGCTCACCCCTTTCTTTCATTGGATTTAACATTAACAGCTATGCCGGACACTCATTCAATCCTTCACTTTGTCTCATTCCAGGAGAAAATGAATCATAATAGGACGTAAAGAGACGAAAGGGTGGTGGGTACCCAACATTGGGTTCCTCACCCCTAACAAGGAGATGGTCCTGACCATATCTGCCCTCGTGGCCATCTGACCACCTTCAAGTCCCTAGACTTTTACTGACGCTGCCCTCAATGCACTGTACCATGGCGCCTGATTGAAGGAGGTCTCCCTTGACTGAGGACTACTCCCCTTAGACTTCTGAGATAGGGCCATTTGCTTGAAGCACATGCAATGCCTTAGAGTATACATGGATAGAAAATAGTGCAGTTGTGAGATTGACGTAGCACGTGCTGTACAGCAATATGCCCACCCCTTGACTGATGACTGCAGACAACTACAATGAGCTGCCTGATTTTATGTCAATGTTAAAAGACAATTGCAAGACAGGGGTACTGAGAGTGTTTAAACTCTGGTTGAGGGGCCAATCCGCAAAAAGCCAAGGCAATGCAAGGCAGGAATGCTGCAAGCATCCAAGGAGCTCAAAGTGAGCACAAAGACAGCAAGCATGGATCCCTGAGAAGCTGCCTGGTTCAATCCATAAGATGAGTGCCAGTCCCCATGCACAAATTGTCCTTGCATCAGCATTGCAATGAAAGATGCCAGTGCAGCATTGCAAAGCACTGAAGTGCACAAGTGTAGTGTTAGTGGATGAGAGATGTGCTGTAATGACACGGTGAGGCTGGTGCATCAGTGGCCATGGATGTGGGTGCACACAAGTGCTGTGTATGAAATATGTTCTGAGATATTTGAGCGAGTGTCCAAGATGGTGGTTCAGAGGAGCAAACAGCGAGCTGGAGTCACCAACTTCCAGAGTCACTCTGGATTTCATGTCAGGAACTCTCAATGTCTCATTTTTATCCTGCAGTTGCAAAAATGGGAAACTGCAAATTAATGAGGTAATATTAGATAGCAATGATGGTGATAATGAGTGAGTGAGACATCTCTCACCTCTTACTAGTGAGAATCTCATTTAACGGTCTAACTCTTGATTGGAAAATGGGACTTTTTGATCTCAATTTTGAGGAGATCCTCACTGGATATCTCATCCAATTTTCCCAAATTTCTCACCATAGTCAACATCTTTCAGGGGCTGGGAAGATTCCATCCCATGTGACAGATGAAAGTGTATTAATAGAGAGCACATGAAGAAATGATGAAATGTGCCATATAAGTGAAATGGGCAGGCTGCTATTAAATAGATGGTCTAGCATGTGTATCTTACCAACAATTTGCAGCACTAGGAAAAATTTGTGAAATAGGACACCTCATTTAAAAAGTGTCAGGGTATGTATGTTAAGGGCCATTGAAAGAACTTTTCAGTTGCCATATTTGGATATGACTGCCAATTCCTTTAAATATCTGCAATGGGTTACAAA